CTTATTAAACTTCTAAATAGGTTGCAAAGTCCATTGTTTTCTCCTCTAAGTTACAATTGTAGAATTAAGTTGTGGGCAAGAGTTAGTGTGTTCTAATGTGGAGGGGGGTTTTTTTGGCCGTTTTTTCCTTTTCATGCCAGGATTGTTTTTTTCTTGGTTTGATAACAGTGTGTACAACAGACGTTTCGTTGTGGTGAAGGAGTCAGTACAGTGCAGCTCTTTGTTTTCTCTTCCCGCTTCCCTTCTTGGTGCTGTGGCCATCAAACAAAGTTTCGCACAGAAACCACTGAAGGTGTTTATGTTCTATTTCAGCCAGGACTGCTGCATATGTTAGTGTTCCATATGTGGAAAAACAATGCCGTGTCTTAGGCAAGAATATTTGTGAGGCTGAGAATGATGGAATCATTTAGGTTGGAAAAGATCCTCTAGATGATTAAGGCAAACATGTCATGGTTTAACATTGAAATGAAGTGCTCCCCTTGCCCCTGCTCCAGCTTGGATTTACTCACAGACTGCAGTCCCTTAGGATTATACCTGCTTGGAGTGGAGCTTTATCTCTGAGCCACAGTCTCCTCAGGGAGAGACTTATCCACAGCCACAGTGGCTTTGAAATGCACCATAATCCCTTCAGAGGTGTACTTGCTGTGGCACAGTCATAACCACAGCCACAGATGCTTTGAAGATGCACCTGGACTCAACTGCAGGTCACAGTCCCTTCAGCTCGAGTTCCCACTGGAGTTCCAACCTGTCCAGCACAGCAGAACAGGAACAGCAGCGATGCCTTGGTCACCTGCCAGCCCAGGGGCATCGCTGTGGCTGCTATCAGAGTGTTCCCAGGCACAGCAGGAAGTTGAAAAGAATAATGTTTATCATGTCTGGTTTTCATCAAACAATAACTGGCAAACTGAGTGCTTTACCAGCTAACTGCAGTAATTCTGGGATGTACAGAAATGGGTGGCATGTGGCCCTGGGCAGAGAGAGTATGTTTTTTCTAGAGGTTCTCCACTGTTAGTATTTCTTCCCACCTGAGCTGGGAACATAAAGGTCTCCACTCAGCCTGTAACGGTGCTCTATTTTGTGTTTCGAAAGGTTGTTTTTTTGTTGTTTGGGTTTTTTTTAACAACTCCTATGAAGCTGTGGGGTGTGTTTTCTATAGGCACTCTGTTTTCTGGCATTCACAGAAGTAAGACAGAGTGCTTCTTACTTAAATTAAAAAATATGCTCAGGGCAAACCTTAAAAAATGTTGCTTTCCTTTGGCCACAACAGCTATGCACACAATATTACTGAAGCAAAAGCAGAAAAGTGGACCCTGCGGTGTCTGGCACAGCAGAGCTTTTGTGTCATGTGTGGTCTGTGGTACAGGTATTGTAATTTGTTCTGTCTTTTATAAAAGATAGATCTAGGTCTTCTAAACACAGGAGTATACTGGGTTGTTGGTATTTGCTTGCAACAGATGAACTTTCAAAGCTACGATTAAAAAAAGGGGATTAGTTTTCCTGCAAATGACATTAAAAAAAAATCCTTGCTACTTTAAATTCAGTTTTGTTCTGGAGTTGGCTCATGGTGCATATAATGTACTAAGCAGGAGACATGCTGTTCTTCAAAGGAATTTACAAAAATTGAGCTAATCCCCTACTCTAGGGAAATACCTTCAAAATCCTCATCTCCTCCGGCTAGACAGCAGAGAGCCTGAAAAGTGAACTGCAGTGAATGTGTTGCAATATCCAATGGCATCCTCATAAAAACCTGAGGATTTGAGTGGTAGGAGACCCTCCAGTGTGGCTTCTTTCACATTCACTATAATAGGAGCTGCAGCAATTTAAGCATTCCAAGCTGCTTTTTGTCTCTCTGAAAGACAGGCTTAATAAAAGAGATGAATTTGCAAAACACAGTGCTTGGAGCCTTGGTCTATCTGCTTGTGTGTTTTCATATGCTCCATTCAAAGCTTCTTAAAACCAAGCCACTTATATGTCCCATATGTCTGTCAAGATGGGATTTTAGGAACCAAAGTCTGTATACCAAGTGGTCTCTTTCTTGGTTTGCTCCTTTTGTCTTTCATTCCAAAATTCCATAGAGCTGTGATGCAGGGTTTAAACTGAGCCTGCAGCTAAAGCCTGAGGGTATTTAGCACTTAAAATAGGACTAGAATGCCAGTTTGAAAACGAGGTTAAACAACAGCGGTCTTGGCTAGCACAGGTCTTAATGGATTGATACATTTGTTCATTGTCTCATGTTGATTTTTGTAGTGGTTTTGGTTTTGTTTGGTTTGGGTTTGGTTTTGTTTTCTTTTGATTGTTTAGTTTGGTTTTTAAAGTTATTATTTAGGCAAATAAGTTCTCCTGAGGTTCTTCAGGTCACCAGTCAGCCAGACTGGCAAAAAAAATTAAATTATTGTCCTTCAATGTATTTGGATCACTTCTGATTTCCTTGTTTTCCCTTCTCTCTTAAAATTTCTTTTACAGTCAGTGCCCTTTTGTGTGATATCAGGATAGATTTTGCTGGTTTACAATACAGGAAGGAATGTAGGCCATAAATAGATGGCATATATTCTGCTAACCCCAGGAATACTGAAATAGCTCGTCTCAAAAGACAGGGAATGCCTCACCAGTTGGCCAGATGCCAGGAGGTTGCAGGATTGACAATTAAGTGGCAAGCCTGAAAATTAATGGTAGGCTGTGCTCTAAAAAAGGGCATGTTGAGCCCCAGCAGAAATTTCTGCAGGAGCAGAAGGTTCTGGCATTCCCATGTGGTGTGTTGGTTCCTGTGATTCACATGGACTGGGACAGCCTTCTCTGCATGTGTTCAGGAGGGGCTTGTCTGTACAAATCTGTTTGAAGGAATCCTTCTTACACAGGCAGCCTTTTTTGCACAGCCAGGTAACTGCACGGGCCTTGGTAATTTTTTCAGAAGGTGGTATTTAGCTGGGTGACTGACTTGTGATGTTGAACAGGCTGGTATTCATAAGACTGAGATATTCAGAACCTCCTGCATTTTTGGTTGTTTTGTTTTGGTTTGGGGTTTTGTTTGGTTTTTTGTTTGGTTGGTTGGTTTTGGGTTTTTTTTGGGGGGGGGTTGGTTGGTGTTCGTTTGGTTTTTTGTGTTGTTTTGTTTTGTTGCTTTCCCCCACCACCACCATCATTAGTAGTTCTGTGTTTCTCCTTTTGCAAGACCAGAATTGCCCCCACCTGCCATTCTGGAGTGCTCGTGGTATAGCCAAAAGTTACAGCTATTCTTTGGTAAGGTGATGAGGATGCCACTGCCCATCCAAAGACACATATCTAAATAATAGCTCATTGTTGGTACATGGGACCTATGACATTGCTCATGGAGTTTTCCAGACTTTTTATATGGACACAGCCTGTGCTGGTATGGTTATCCTCAAGCAGAACGGGAACAGAGTTCTGCCTCTCTAATGTCTGCATTGCTGTGGCAGTCTACAGCAGATGAGTGGTTTTCAAAAGCCCTGCTCTGCTAGAGTGCTGTCCACCACAAAAACTGTGAAATACAGTTGAGTTTCATATAAAGAATTTTTTATTACCTAAAATATTTTTACAATTGTGATGTGAAACAGGTTAAAGCAGAAAACAACCATGGGTCAGAATTCAGGCAATCCTGCAAGAAATCATTCTTTCCCCAAAGGGAGAACAAACAGAATATAAGAAGCATTCCTGGTTCAGAGAAGTGGCAGAGAGAGTGACAGACACTTGAGGTGGTACCTCTGACCTCTCTTTGTCTTGCTGACACAGGAGATCGGCGGAGGCGGGGGTGGAGGGCAGCTCCACCCGGCAATGTCACATGCTTTCTGCTAGTGCGGCACCTTAGCTGTCTACCTAAGCCCCAGGCAATGAGTTACTGGTCTAATTCACTCCCCCTCAGTCGGCTGAATCTGTCCTGGCAGTCAGGTATCTCCTGTGTTCATCAGTCGGGTGTGTTGCGGGCTGAGAGCAGGGGAGGTCAGCTCTGCACTGTGTCAGAGCTTTCGTGCCCAGCTCACCACCCTCAGGCTATGGGATTAGCAGTTGCTGATTAACTCCTGTTTTCCAAGTTTAAAGAAGAAAAGTAAAGAGGAAAATAGTGATGTGCTGCTTTAAAGGTAAGTGATGCTTGTGTATTTAGAGTAAGGACTTCCACATCTGTGCTGCCAGAGTTAAACTGGTGAAATGGTATGCGGGAGGCTGTCATTCAGTGAAGCGTATGGCTGTTATGTAAAGATTTTAATTACTTTCTTCATCTGTCTGCTTAGGAACACGAGACGTCTGGCAAAATTTTGAGAAGGCTCAAGGCGTTAAAGAAAGCTCATCTAAATAAAGGAGGGTTAACGTGACATTGCAGTTACTTAATCCTGTATTGTCCTGCCATGTGACTGCAGGGATACTAAGGCGCAGCATTTCTGTTGCCTGGGGCACAGATTTTGGCTCTCCTGTCCTCTTCCAGAATTAGCTGCTTATTAAACCCACCATGCGAAGGAAACAGAGGGGCAACGAACTTTTTACAGCAAGGCTTCAACACACAGGGATATTTCCAAGGCACAGTGACAAGCTCACAGCTGAAGAATGAATCAAAGGCAAACCCTACAGTCAGCTCTTGGACTCGTACCAGAATCAAGTAGAACTGCGTTCTTAAGGTCAGCAATTCAAAATTAACTGGAAGTATCTGGATTTATTTGGAGCAGTTAATCAGCTTTCTGTTTGACCTTTATCTATCAAGTTTTTAAAGCATCAAGCTAAAGCCTGAAAATTTGTGTCAGATATTTTCCATGTGTCAAACGTACTGTGTAGACACTGAGAACCTTGCCGCTTTCTTGCACAAAGTTTGCAGTTTTAATTGCAAAGCCTCTCTTTCACCCTGTAGCTGAAGATCCCGACACACTCGCTCTGTGAGTGAGGAATTGATGTATACAGCTTCATCTCTGATTTTGAACAAGACATGCAATATGCAGATATGACAGATAAGTTTTTGAAGTAATTTCCAAACTAATCCTTGGACTTCCTGGTTTTTTACTATATTTATCACAGCTTCCATTATGTGCAGGATTGCATATTCATCCAGAATTACTTCATTTAAGCTTGGTATCACAACATTTTGTTAAATGGGGAAGTAATTACCCTGTAGACTATGACAACAGGATATGTGAATGAAGGAGGTCATGGAAAACACCGCTTTTGCAGGTGGAATCATGAGGATAGTGGAGAAGACGACGCGCACCCGGAATGCTACAGAGGAGATGAAGAGAGCAGGCAGCACAGGCTGACCCCATTTGAGAAACTAATGCAGGATATGTCTCACAATGAAAAAGTGGTGAAAGAATTAACCCTGGGAAAGAGAATTGCCTTCTATCGAGTCAGAGGAGAAATAGGAAGTGGGAATTTCTCACAAGTGAAGCTTGGAATTCATTCCCTAACCAAAGGTAGGCACTATTGCATGCTGAGTAAGTACCCTATACAAACGGCCTTCTGGGGAAAAAAGATGTCTGAACCTTAAATACACATATAGTTTGTATGTGTCTTTTTAATGTGGCTGAGTGAATCTGTAGGCAGTGTCACAGAAAAATGGTCAAGGTTGGAAACATTTTCTCTAGATAGCAACCATGACAAGAAAAGTTCATCGCTGCACTCCACGGTGTTAACACTTCTCATCCCATGGTTCAAACACTCCACACTTTAAAGCATGTGTTGTGCCTCCCCTCCTACAACCTGTCCTGTCCATCTGTCCTTTTCTCTGCCCCAGCTCATGGGCTGCAGGGCTAAAGGTGGTGAATGCCCACTGCAGCATGGCTGGGCATGCTCCTGCCTGCAGCCAGCGGTAGCAAGGCTTCCTGTGTTTCATCACTAATAGCACTACTAAGGACCAAGATTTTATTTAGTCCCAGTAATTTTGGTGACAACTGTTGTGCCTGTTTCACAGACTCATTTTCAGACAGATGGGATGAGGCTATTGGTGCAGGGAAACGAGCTCTGGGAGGAGAGTCAGATTGAGAAAAATGCCATGATAGTAGTGTACAAAGATGTAGAGAAAACTAGTCACCCTGATGGAAAACAAGAACAATTTCTATTCTTGTAGGACAGAGGCAGAAGAAGAAATAGGACAGTTGATGACAAGTTCTTAGTTATACCTGTGACTGAAGTGTCCACTCCAGTTACCTAACCCTTCTAGTCCTTCATCGAAGTTAGGGTGCTTTTCTGTATTTAAACCAAGAATTTGGTTTAAATTGATGTGTTGACAATTCAACACAAACACCACTTTGGCAATACCAGAGCTTTCTTTTTCAAACTGATTGACTCTTCTTCCCTCCATCCTCTTGTAGGTGAGAGAACAAGATATGCCCCAAAACCTGTTTTATCTCCCATTATTTTCTCTGACTGACTCTTTCAGCCTAGACTTCAGAGGGTGAAAATTTGTGTGTAGTAGTTGTTGCACTGGGAATCTAAGTGGGGAACTAATGGTTAATTTTTCCATTTTAAGCCTGCCTCTGCCCAGGGGTTGCTTTAACTGGGTGTGGATTTTTTGATTTTGATTGTTTAAGAAAAGCAATTCTGTTCTACTTGGCCCATGGCAAGTTGTTTCCTCTTCTGTGATTTTTTTTTTTCTTCCAGAGGTAACTGTCTTGTACTTACTGCTGGAAGAAATGCTGCTCCTGTATCTGGAGCAACAGGAATGCTAATGAAAGGCTGTTAGAAATTTGATCTGGATGAACCCTTTACTTGCTGAACTTACTTAAAAAACAGGTTGCTTTAGTATTTAAATAGAGTTGACTGAAAAACTTTGAACTTGGTGAATACAGTAAGTTTGGACAAACTAAATAGCACAACCAAAACTCTTCCTCTTCCTTGAAAAAGTTCTTTTGCACCAGAAATCTCTCCAGTTATTTTTCTTTTGCTTGTTTGAAGCTTTTTTTGGTTAAAATTTTCATTGGGCAAAGAGTTGATTTCTTGATACTAAACTTGCAACTGTCATGAGGAAGGAAAAATAGAAGATGAACGTTTTCTGACTCGTCTCTGCCTGTGAGCTTATCTGTGTTCATAAAACACAGTACATGGACAGAAGAACAGGGACATGCACACAGGCATGCACCCATACCCACTCACCACCACCCACAGAGAGGATTCTGGTTTTTGCAGTAGATGCACATTGTTGTATTGGTGATGATGTTCCTTCACAGTGTTAATGAGTACTAGTCTTTTTTTTTGCTGATTATATAAATACAAAGGCTTCATTATTAATGCTGTTTGGGTCTCTGTGGTAGGGGGCGGTGTATGCGTCAGGGCTGTCCAGCTCCTCAGTTACTACCATAGTGTTAAGTATGGTCTCTCTCCATACATGTCACCCTATATCAAAAAGAGAAACAATTTTGGCTTTTACTACCAAGAGCCTTTGTAACAATTACACCTTGCGTTCTTTTCTGTTGTCCTTGTGATCTCTCACAGCAGGACACAGGACTTCTAGAGAGAGAGAAGAAAAAACATCAGGATCACATTGGATGACATACCTTGATTCTCTTACAAGTGCTGTGTTGGTTGTTTAGAGAATACAGAGAAGTTTTTGGTGCTGTGGTAGGGCTTGGATAGGTGTGCTCCTCGCTGGGTAAAAAACTCTCTGGATAGCTGTACCCAGGGAGTGGTAGTAAATGAATTTACATCCAGCTGAGGCCATCAGTGGTGGGGTTCCCTAGGGCTCAGTGTTGGGACCAGCCCTGATTAACACCTTAAGCAGTGATCTGGACAAGGGGATTGAGGGCACCCTCGGTCAGTTTGTGTAGATGACAGCAAATTGGCTGGGAGTATTGATCTGCTGGAGGGTAGGAAGGCTTTGCAGAGGGATCTGGACAGGCTGGATCGATGGGATGAGGCCAGTGGTATGAGGTTCAAGAAGGCCAAGTACCGGGTCATGCCCTTGGGTCACAACAACCTCAGGCAGCTCTACAGGCTGGGGGAAGTGTCTGGAAGGTGGCTCGGTGGAAAATGATCCAGGCATGCTGACTGATAGCGGCTGAACATGAGCCAGCTGTGTGCCCAGGTGGCCAAGAAGGCCAGTGGCATCCTGACTTGGATCAGCAATAGTGTGGCCAGCAGGACCAGGGCAGTGACTGTCCCCCTGTACTGGGCACTGGTGAGGCCACACCACAAATCCTGTGTCCAGTTCTGCGCCCCTCACAGCAAGAGGGACATTGAGAGGCTGGAGTGAGTCCAGAGAAGGGCAACAGAGCTGGTGACAGGTCTGGAGCACAAGTCTGATGAGGAGCGGCTGAGGGAGCTGGGGGTGTTAGCATGGAGAAAACGAGGCTCAGGGGAGACCTTACTGCCCACTACAAATACCTGAAAGGAGATTGTAGCCAAGTGAGGGTCATCTTCTTCTCCCAGGTAATAAGCCATAAGACAAGAGGAAATGGCCTCAAGTTGTGCTAGGAAAGGTTTAGATGGGACATTAGGAAAAATTTCTTCACTGAAAGGGTGGTCCAGCACTGGGACATGCTCCCCAGTGAAGTGGCGGAGTCACCATCCCTGGAGATATTTAAAAGATGTGTAGTTGTGGCACCTGGGGACATGATTTTAGTGGTGGATTTGGCAGTGCTGGGTTAACAGTTAGATGTGATGATTTTAGAGGTGTTTTCTGATTTTATGCTTCTATGTCTATTGTGATATTCAGGAGTGTTATCCACTATATTAACCTGAATTTTGGCTGACATTTTTTGCAGAAACCTGTGAAGCTTTTTGCTAAGGACTGTTACATTCGTAAGCTCTGTGTAACCTTTATTTTAACATGCTTTCCAGCTGACAAAAGTAGTGTGAGAGCACAGCTGAACAGATGCAATTAAGAGCTTCCAAAATTTACAGCTAGTAAAAAGTCAGTGTAATGTGAAACATGAATTGCAAAAGCACAGATTTCCAGGCACCTAGTTTGCTTTTTTTTTTTTTTTTCCTTTTTAAAGCAATTTTTCACCTGGTTTTGTCTGTCGTTTGTTTCCTTTCTGCCGTCGCAGCAAACACCACTTCCTCCTGAAATTATTTCTCAACCTTTTCCTAATTTCTCTTCCAAAGATTTCAGCTAGCAGTTTTCAAACCTCAGCATATACTGTGTATAGTCAGTCAAACATCTTTCAACCCAGTCTTTTTGTAAATAAGCTCCCTGCTAAAAACGCCCGTCTGTTTAGCACTGCTGCCAAGCACAGGTAGTAGAGGATTTGCAAGCCAATCATTTTTTGGAAGCAGAGAGGACTGGTTTACAAAAGAAAAGAAAGGTGTCAGGTTTTTTACACTTTGGGTGGGCTGGATTTCTTCGCATGTCATGCATTTGCAACTGCAATTATATAGGTTTAAAGGAGCTTGGTCCTGATTTATGGTGGTGTTTGAACAGAAACAGGCTTTCAGTTGTAAACACTTTTCTTTTTCTCCCTGTTAAGAAACATTAAACATTTCCCCGTTAAAATGTTGCAGGAAAACTGACAAGGAGGAATAGTAGTTTCCAGCAAAAAGAATGGGAAGATTTGTTTTTTGTAAAGCCCAAATGACCTCAACTTTTATAAATCAAGATATAATGATGAAATTGCATGGTTAAGATTGTGAGAATTGTTCTGCCTGTAGTATCTAACCATTTAGTTGAGTGAACGTAGCCTACTGCAAGCTGATGCTCTTTCCTTGTGGTTTAAGAGATCAGTATGCTAGGAACATGACCAAGGATATTTTAGTCTGTCACTGCTGGGTCAGCAGTCAGAGCACTGCCAGGGTGAGTGTCAGTAGCCGCATTTCCTTCCAATTCACCATGCAGGAACAAGTACCTGCCTACCCACGGAGCTCCCTAGAAAGCATGAAACAGGTCAGAGAGAAGCAGTGTGGGGAAAACTGCCCCGTACTCAGCACAGACTCCTGAAAACAGGCACATCAAGGGGTAACTCAGTACCTCCCACAAGAATCATATTTGCTTCAAGTACCTGCTGCACTTCAGTAGGCAAATGTATGGTACTTGGTACTAAAAAATGTAAATGTACCAAACATGGAGTTTTCTTGATCTGTAAGACAGATGCATAAATATCCTCATAACTTCCTTTAGATATGTTGAAACACTAAACTTGAGTTAAAAAGTTTATGTCAGTAAGTAAAAACATTTTAAATGCTTTTATACCAGAACACAGGTACAGTTATAATACCCTTTTCACTCTTCTCTTACAGTAAAAAGTGAACAATACCCTTTTTTTTTTTTTTCTAACTTACTCCCATGTGCTAGAAACCAGGGTGAAGTTTTTTTCTGAAAGATTTGTTAAAAGTGATTAATTGTTAAGAAATCTGTGATTGGTTGACTAAGATATTTATTTCCAGGAATAAATAGTTGGTTTTGTTGCTGTGATCCAGTTTAATTTCGCTGTCCTGACAACTTATGCAAAGCCATCGTAACCCTGTTTTAACCAGACTAATCCTTCAAATACCAGCTGTATTCAGAACAGCGAAGACAAAGACCATAACCTAGAAACTAATACAGAAACATAAGGGCAACTGTGATTGATCTCTTCATCCTGCTCTGAGCTACCCTGATGATGTGGTACAGCTGCAGATGTATTATCTGTGTTTTGTGGCCCTTTCCTTCACTGTAGATACACTACAGAAAACATCTAGGATTTAACAGCAGCTTGGCATTACCAGAACAGCATATGTCAGATAGGTTTGCTGTCTTACAGGATCCCTGCAGCGTGCTCCGCTTCACTGTTTTCTCCCTTCCTCAGAGTAAAATTCTGTGTGTGCTGTGGATTCATGGCCCACTGCGGGATACAGACATAAAATGTACTTTTCCTGTATTCTGTACAGTACCAAGAACTATTAATACAGGAACACATTGGAGAAACTGGCACAGCTATCCTAACAAAGACAAACCTCAACAACACTGATGTTGCTAACTGAGAATTTAGGGGGGTAGGGGAGAAGTTAGGGAAGAGTTTTGTAAGTTGCACCAACTTCAAAATCTCTCCATTATAAACCTTCCGGATTACAGCCAGGGCCTTCTAAATTCCCCCCAACCAAACACTGTCGTAAAAAGTATTACCATTTGTACCTATTTGCACTAATAACATGGAAAAATGTCTTCCTTTTCAGAGAAAGTTGCAATTAAGATTTTGGACAAGACAAAGCTAGACCGGAAGACTCAGCGTTTGCTGTCTCGTGAGATATCCAGCATGGAAAAGCTGCATCACCCAAATATCATCAGGCTGTATGAAGTGGTGGAGACACTCTCAAAACTGCACCTGGTGATGGAGTATGCTGCAGGTGGGGAGCTCTTCACTAAAATTAGTACAGAAGGAAAGCTGCTAGAAACGGAGTGTAAAATAATCTTCTCCCAGATTGTGTCTGCTGTGAAGCACATGGTAAGTTGTTCTTACACAGGCATGTTGCCCCTCACTAGTCTTAGCAGATTTTGTGGGTGTATCTTTTGTTTTTCAACTAGTAGATGTATTGTTAACCAAAGTTTCAGGCCCACATTTCTGAAAAGCAAAACAGCTGGAGAAGAGAATACGAGAGAGCTTGCACATCTACCTTGAGTTACTGCCTCTCTGTTAACAGCTTTTAGGAGGAGACTTAGTGGGAACACCTGGTGGGTGGCATAATCCCTTTTACAACAGTGTTCTGTCTGCTTTAAGGTGCCCTGGGCATTAGTGAACAAAGCTTCATTTCTTCCCTCCACCTATTTCAAATCATGGGATTAGTCACTCTTCTGCTAGAACAAAGTGTTCCACAGAAGTTGTTAGGTGTTGCAAATGTCCAGCTTGCTTACTAATGAACATGGAAGTCTGTCCTTAAAGACAGGCCATTCCTGGTCCTCACTTAACCGTGAATCTGTGAGGTTAACATCCAGCAAGTCCCTTCCCCCTTGCCTTAGTCTTCAGTACTGCACCTAGGATGATGCCATTTGTGTAGAGCCCAAAGCACCTTGTAAAGGCAGAGAGGAGTAATTAACTACTTCAATACCACGTCCTCTGAACCTTGCATAGTAACTACAGGTACTTCAAACAACAGCGTGAAAACACAGAGGACTGTTCTACAAGTTTGAGTAGTAGTACTCATTAAAGTTGGCTCAGAGTGCCCTCCGGTGGCTCATGTTCTCCTGGCACATGATAGCCTCTGGTGAGGTCAGAAGCAAGGGTGTTCCCAGGTCACTCACTGCTCCTGTCTTACATAAACAGTAGGCATTTTTAATATATTTTGACAAAATGATCGTATGTCCTGTAAGTGATGGATTAGCTCCAGCACTTTCCACAGGACAGGTACCCTGCAGGAACTTAATTTACATTTCAAAATTACACCACACCTTTTTCTTAGAATCAAACCCAGATTACCAAGCTGGCAAACCTCTTCACTTGTACACACAGACTTCTGCACAACTTTTTACTTTTGCTAAGCTATCCAATCCAGACTATATAAATCCCATCTCACTGCTGCCAGTGCACAACAAGAACAGAGGATCCCTGCCTGTTTTTGAGGTCAGTTGAAATAGGATGTCAGACCGTTTCCTTATTGCCACCAGATACTGCACCTTGTTACTCCAGAGGGTAGGGCAGAGTGTGCTCAAACACATCCATTCCTTCTTGTTAGTTTAAAAATGAAGCTAAACCCTTACCTAATCAAGATGGGTATGTTGTGACTAAGCAGAACAAATTCAGTTTTAGTCCTTAGCTACTACTACCATTTCCAAGGGGAAAAAAGTAGAAGTTACAGTGTATGTATTTATTTTAGCTTTTGAAAACTAGAAGACACCACTAAACTTGGTATCCTGCAACATGAAATATCATGAAGCCCAAGTCTGTGGTCCGTTTCTCCTGCCACCACCAGTTCCTCATAGGACATTAGATCACACAACACAATTGTAGTCACTTTCTTACTCCATCTGGGACTATGGTTCACTCGGTGAACTAAATAAGCACTTATTTCCACAAGCTGTTACATGTAGTAACTGCAAAACCAAGTGTCGTGAACCCTGAAAAAATACAGATTTTGCATATGAAAGTATCTATCTAGTTTTATAGGATTAGCCATTCTGTTACAAATTTGCTTCATGAAAATACTGGTATTAGTTGGGACTGCTGGTCTTAAAAAAATCTCAGCATCCTTCTTTTCCCCTACTCAATTGGTTTTGTATCATTAGACAATCAAGTTATATTTTCTTAATACTTTTTCAGTTTTGTTGCAATACTAGTTTATGACTTTGCCCAAGATAACTCCCCTTCTCCTGTGGGGTAACTAATTGATTAGGGGTAGCCATTGAGAACTTTCCAGTGAACAAACCAATACCAACTTCTCCTCTTGTCCTACAGCATGACAATAATATCATTCACCGGGACCTGAAAGCAGAAAACGTCTTCTACACTAGTAACACCTGTGTTAAGGTGGGAGACTTTGGATTCAGTACAATGAGTAAAAGAGATGAAACTTTAAAAACTTTCTGTGGCTCTCCTCCTTATGCTGCTCCTGAGCTCTTCCGAGATGAAAACTATATAGGCATCTATGTGGACATCTGGGCACTAGGAATCCTCCTCTACTTCATGATGACGGGTAGCATGCCATTTCGGGCAGATACTGTAGGCAAACTGAAGAAGTGCATTCTTGAAGGGACATACACTTTGCCTCCTTGCCTCTCAGAAAATTGCCAGAAACTGATAAAAGGAGTCCTTCAGCCCGTACCAACCAAGCGATACTCTGTCAAACTGATTATGAACAGCGAATGGATGCAAGGAATACAGTATCCCAAACCTTTACAGACATTTAAACTGGATCCTAAGTATTTATCAGATGTCAATACGCTCAAAGAAGAAGAAATTGAAGTGAAAAATATTCTGGAAGATCTGGGAATCACAGAGCAGCACATTCAAAATAACCGGGGAAGAGATGCACGCAGCTCGATAACAGGGGTCTACCGGATTGTGCTGCACAGAGTACAGAAGAAAAGGGCACTGGAATCTGTTCCTATCATGTCCCACCCAGACCCCACAGAACAAGACTTGAGGAAAGGAATCCATTCTTACAGTGGGATTAAGCACACATCCAAGCTGTGTTCTATTTTATAAATTTGCACTGCAGACTATACTCAGCACATTTGACAGAGGGGATTATTCACTTTTCAGAGGGGATTATTGACTTTTCATAAATTCTGGTGTTACATTTTTTTGTAATTTTTGAATAAACCAAAAATGCCTCATCTTCTTTGCATTTCCCAAGTCACAGGAAAGCACTCAAACACAGAGCTCTCGTGCATTTGTTTGACCCTTGCGTCAGAGACATGGTATAGCCAGTGCAAGAACCCCAGTAACCAAAAGGAGCGGGAGTGGAGGGAGTTGATCTTTTAGTAAAGATCATACCATTGCGTTTAATCCACTTGGAGATTCTCAGTATAGCCATGTAACACCTAACTTCTGAAATGCTGTACCTCAGCTTGACACGACTTTACCACTGCAAACCAGGACAGTTTTTGCAGAGAATTTAAGCAGAGACCAGACCATAATCTAAACAACTGCATATTCTTCTTTTGAGCTTCCTCATCAAGATAATTTTAAAAAAGCACCTTCTTTTAAGAAACAGCAGTGCTGCAGTTCTCCGTTTGTTATGATTCCGAAAGACAAATTAAGATACAGTGTTTTAACCCTTCATGTGTGGTTGCAGTTCCCAATGCCTGATTGGTTGGACTACCATCAACTAACTGACACATTCCACTACTTACATGATTCTGCCAGTTTGGAACTGCTTCGACTTATTGCACTCCAATAAAGAAAGATTTAAGTGTACTCCAAAACTCATGTAGTTTTAAATTCTTGCTGTAGCACTTGTTACCAGTAGCTGAATGCAGTTAGTAGCAAAATCCACTTGTATCCGCTGAACATTACAGGCTTGTACTCAACTCCTGCCACCCTGCTTCGATAACCAAAGCTGTAGCAAAGATGATCTTGACACTCCTGACCACTGCAAGTTAAAGTGGGATAGGCTGACACCACCAGTCGCTCTGAGCATCACCAAGATGTAGATGCTTGAATTTTCAGCTTTAATTGCTGATTTTATACTTTCATCTTCAACAGCATCAGCTCCAATTCAAAGGACAAGAGAGGTAGCTTTCTTCCCTGAACAAGGACAGCTGACCTGCCTAAGCTAACAGGTAGAGGCTGTATGACTTTAGTTAAGGTAAGACAGCTGACAGAAGTTTTACATAGGTACAGCTGGTGCTTTCAAGTGTTAAGGGCAGGATGCCTTATAACAGCCTGTTATGAGGGCTGATGGGATGATGAGTTGACTTTGGAAGGAGCAATTAATTTAAATAGCAACAGAACGAGTCTGAAAAGCCATCCCTAGGAAACTGGACTCAGTGAGGCTCAGGTATGTACAAAGCAACACAAGCCCTTGCTGCAGAGTTTCTGAGGGGGATAAAACAATACTATCTGTTGTAAGACAGTAATAGAGCCTCCAGTGGTCTAGGGGAAAAGACACTGCACTGTCACTGCAGAGACCTGGGTTCGATTCCCGGTCGGGGCCCCTCCCCGGGCAGATGGAGCTCGTTAGCCCATAAGACAATCCATCTACGTCCTGAGGACCTCGCTGCCACCGTCCAAGCGTGCTTGGCCCCGGCCGATGAACCTCAGGATTAAAGGGTGGGCTCAGTTCCGCGCACACTGTGTCTCACCTAAAAAATCCAATGCGCAGGCTGGAAGGTGTAAAGACCTTCCCCGGTTCTTCGTTCGCGAAGAGACTGGCCATTACATTACAAGACAGTAATAATTATTAATTCCATATCATGAGGTGGGGATTAATTCCTCTGCTATAAACAGTTTCCATATGAAAGCATTTTAAGTTATTTTGAGACACAGCCCTGATGTAGTGGTTTTACACCAGCCTAAGCAACCCCTTCATTTTGTTGGGAACGACACGAAGAGAGATCCAGATTATCCAACCAGCCTGTGGACCCACACCTTCAGATTTTCACAGAGCCAGTTTCCTCTTTTTTCCCTGTTGAAAATAAAGCGTCCTAAAAACCCAACAAGTCAGCACTACTCCAACAGGTTTCAAATATGTCAAACTTTATTTTAATAAAGGATCAGCCTCACAGACCTGGGAAGTCTGTGCCAGTAGCTCACTTCTTGGTTTGTCCACTGCCAGCAATGGACTTTGTTCCATGACAGTTTGTTTTCCTGGTGCCGAGTTAAGTTTCACGAGGGCAACCTAAGCCAAAATACTTGCAAACACTATTGTCATGCATCATTGCTCCATCATTTTTAGCAGAACAAACAGATTAGTATTTGTCAATTTATAATAAACAACTATTTTATCAAGGCTTGACTGTACAAATACAGCAAGTTATCAAATCCTAGTGAGTGACAGGTAATACAAACACTTCATTACACACAGAAAAAATTGTGATTAACAGAGAAATAATTTTTTGCTACTTTATATTAGATAATGTGGCTTTGTAGAATTAGCAAAGAAATAAACTCAACAAAACTTAATCTGTACATTAGCTCAATTTAAATATATATATCTATATATAGAGATATAGATAGATAGATATATATATTACAGGCTTAAAAGGCTCATGTCATAGTTCATTTCCAATCTGGGATTTAAAAATCTACCAGAATGGGCTCCCCATTACCACTGTAAATCTACCACTGGCAAAATGGATAGGTTGTTGGGAAAAAACAACAAAACAAAGCAAAACACAAAAGAAATACAAGACACTAGTCCTACAGTATTACCAATAGTGAGAAGGACTTCAAGGTACAAAGCCAAATTCAAAGTTAGAAATAGTCTTTTGGAAATGTATTATATCAAGACTAGTGAGAGGCCGGAGTTCTGGACAAACTGATGAGATCACTCTCTTCCTTTGTTTGCCAATTACAATTGCTCCATTAATGTCTAGAAGTTTTATTTGAAAATTTGCTGTCTTGGATACTTCTACTAAATGATCCAGAAAGGTGCCAAATCAATGACCCTATTTCTTTAGAAGAAAAAATTTACTACTTCCCTTCTTTTTCCTCTTTCCTCCCAGGCTGCCATGACTCGCAATGCAGGCATAAAACACTTAATAGGCATATTAGGAGAAATTACATCATCACCATCATCATCATCATATACAAGGACTGCCTGAGACAATCCCTCAGCCTTGGCCATATTGATCACCACCACTGGTCTACCCTGGCCTCCAATCGGGAGGCCTGGAGACACACCATCTATAACGCTGCTGCTGCTTTTGAGAACACACGCAGGATCACTCTCGAGGAGAAAAGACAACGCAGAAAGAATCGCGTCTTGTCATTATCACCTGGGGAGTCTTTCTGCTGTGCCTTCTGCAACCGGACTTGTCTATCTCGCACTGGCCTTTTTAGCCATCAGCGCGCTTGTAGCAAGCGTGGGTAGAGCCCCTCTCTAATCTTTGTTCGCGAAGCCTAGCCATGATGATAGGAGAAATTACATACTAACACAGGGGATCACAGAGTTTCTTCCAAGAAAACCACTTGTCAGCCTAGCTGTTCTCGATCCAGTAATTTTGAGGGGAAGAGACATTCTATTCCAACAATAGATGTTACTTGGTTCTATACCTTTCCCAAAGCAATGGGGTGATGGGAGGCAAACTGGGAGAAGAAAGGGAAGGTGATAAAGTGAAAGAGAATTGCAGTATTCAGAAGATTGACTGCTTATTGTCAAGGCACTGAGAACCCTAACATTAAAAGCTTGGACTAGTTTGCACGCACTTGAGTACTGGTAGAAGTTAACAGTGTAGGTTTCAAGTCATTTTACACAGAAAGAGCAGGCAGAAGATTCCTTTTGGTTTTTTTCTATGTACAAAGACCTTGTAATAGACTACAGCTACTTCTCAGTAATTAAAAAAATTCAGACAAGTTAAGGAATCCACAAAGGACCTAGCAAGTCCTTCTATCTCCAATATACTCCTGATTTTAGTGTTCTGAAAATACTTTAAAATCAGCACACTGTATTATGATGGTTTTTTCCAAGGAGCTTAAAGAGTTTTTTTACACTCCAATGAAGTACTAGTGTACACTGAAACTTCAGCACTACTGCAATCCTATTTCTCTCTCTCTCACCCTACCCTTACACCTTCTTTCTTTTCCCACCTCACAGAGGTATCTTAATGCTCCCCATTGGAAAGGGCAACAGTAACGCCTTCAGTTTCTGTTGTTGCAGGGATTCTTGGCACTTTCTTAGCAGGGCTTGGGATGTGCTAAGAAGAAGGGAAAAAAAACATTAAATACAGATTTCCAGTTCACACACATTCATACTTCATGGCTAGTCCAACTCTCAAACAACATTCATGCTACACTGGATGGCTTGGCCTAAATTCAATCTAATCGGTCATGCTTCATGCAAACAGACTGTGTGAAAAGAGCCAGTTTTGTTCTTGTTTCTTTCTTGTGCAGTTTCATTCTCTTTATGATGAAATGTACTTTTTTTAAATCCCACGTTCAGCTTTTTACTTCTGGCTTGTAAGTTAGGCATATTAACAAAGTATTTAATATAACTCGTTAAACCACTTCCTCTTAACATACATGCACATGCTAAGACAGACATGTAAATGGTTCCACCATTTACATCAAACTTTGAAAGAGTGCCGAGTGTTCACCTCATGAACAATGCCTGGGTGCACAACTCCAACTCTTGCCTCCAGAGGTCCATCACCCAGGAGTGGGCGCCGGGCATAAGTTCGCCTGTGTTTTTCATCCACACGCACAAGGTACCAGGTTCCTTCAAAGAGATCCTCTACTGAGCACTGTGGAATATAGTTGGCTGTAAAAAAGGGAGTAACAGACTGTTAGTTGTTTCCTGGTGAGAGTTTTATTCAACACAGGCCTTTGCAGTTTGGATGCACTGACACAGAAAAAAAACAAGTCTGGATTTTTATTTCAGCCCATGTTGGGCCAGTGAAGACAAGCTACTCAGAAGCAGAAAAGGTTGGACATTTCCTTCATTCTACACCCTAATCATTTAAAGTCAGCTGAAATAAGTGATGAGCATTTTGCTGTAGGACTAGGAATGATTTATATTTATGAAGTTCTTACCCAAATGGTGTGTTTCCTGTCTGATCTTCATGTTTTCAGCAAAGACATCAGGTGAAATACACTTTCTTGAGTCAAGTCTTGCTTTGAGATCAGAAAGGCTGGCAGTTATCTTGTCCAGTGCAGAACCTGCAATACAGAACCATCGTGTAAGGCAGCACCAGTGCTGAGAACTACACAGCAGCATATTAACATTTCAAACCCATTTGAAGTACTTTGCATTACAGAATCTCAACTGTTAGTCATTTAAAAGTATTCCCAATTACCAATCAAAACATAATTGGAGTTTGAAGAATATTATTTGTTCAAGGAGACACAAACATTCCCTGGAGCTAGAACACCCTCAGTTTGGCACTGATATCATTCGGCATTGCTCTGCAGGTTTTATGGTGCTGGTCAGTTGTGTAATAAGGCATTGAGAGTGAGCTGTGCAAGGGAGGTGGTTAACATCTCATGTCACTCACCTGGAGTGGCATCCTGGGTAACCCTGATGGAATACAGGGTAGCAGCAAACCCAGAGCCGTAGGAGAACACACTGATTCTCTGTCCTGCCAGCTGCTCTGGGGAGTACCTGCAAATAGAACAACAACTTTTTAAAGTGGGAGTTAAGCCCAGGTCTCAGTTTTAAATAAATAGAAATTGCAGCTAACTTAGGAACAGCAGCCAGCAAATCATATTGTCTACCATACACATTTAGCTATGTGCATAAATTCTGACTTTTAAAAACACAAATTCAGATACTGTGATGAGTTCCAAAGCTGCCTTAGCAAAACAGAGCTGAGAAATGCACAGAGTATGATTATCTAAAAGGTAGCCAGTTTTCATTCTTGAACGACCTAAAGCCTAAAACGAGCAAACACATCTTGGAAGGCAATGTCAGAATAAAGAAAAAGGGATCCAGGAAGAGGGGTTTAATTTAAACTTAATATGATTTTGTAAAAGGCTGTCATTGAAAAAAAAAAAAAATAAAGCTAATTTAATTTGGTTTTGGTTACAGGGATACAAAGAAGACATTCTGGTTCTCTTTTCCACTGCAGGCATTTTTCTAGGGGGAGGGAAAGAGGGAAGGTTCGTGCTGAGAAGAGGCATCGCCTCACAAGTAAGTACTTTGGAAGGCAGTAGCAGCCATTTCACATCAGCTTCTGTCACATTATCAGACTGCTTGTCCCTTGAACTTGAATGCATGTGCAGAACTGATTTTTAACTTTAATCTTTCTGCTCAAGGCAATCTCGTAGGAAAAGGTTTGCTAGACAGTGCTTTTACAGACGTCTTTCTAAAACGAAAACCTTTTATGTCCTTATTCATAAACAGCTATGACTTTTTCCCCAATTTTATGCTTACTGGGCTAGAAGAGAGGCAAGGCAACCATAGACTGAAGGGGTATACATATTTCCATTCTGATTGGACACGAGCAACGAAGCTTTGGTTTTCTGATTGAAGAGCTCCGCACTAGCTTTCATAAAAGCTTTTTCCACATCTCTGTCAAAATACGTATCTTCAAGTTTTATATCCCTAATAAAAACAAAAAAAAGAAAATCAGAAACAGTTATTAAAATAGCAGAAAGTAAAAACACACCTTGGATGTGTAACAGAGTAAGATTATGTGAATAAGGAAGACAGCAGCCATTCTCACCTGAAAGCTTCCAGACCACTGAAAACACCATTTGCTGTTTCTGGGTTCTGGTCACTGAGAAAGTCATTCAGCAAGAGTCTGGCCACGGATTTCTGTACCAGTTTACAGTACGGAGAATGAAAGATCATGAATCCAAAATCATTCAAGGTGAAACGTCTGTCTGTCCCCTCTGGAAGTAGCAGAAGTGTTGTGTTACAAGCTATGTTTAGTACTCCCTTCAACTATGAAAATAAAGCGGGGAGCTGGCAGAATACCAGTCATCATAACATGTCAGCACACAAGAAGACACCAGTAACACTAAATACTGCTGTCAGGTGCATTTAAAACACGGCCACTGCTTCTACTTAAAAATTACTTCCTTACTATCTTTTGCACCAGCTAACAATGTTTGCTCTTATTCTAGGATAAGAGACATAAGCTCAGCTTCTAGACGTAAGCTTAACAGAATCTCCACCCAGCATTCCGACCTAATAAACTGTCATTTAACTCTCTTCACACCTATGCTTCTTAATGTGAGGGAAGCAATTACTAAACATATTGGATTAAAAAAAAAAAAAAAAGTATTGTTACATAACATTTAACCTAAATTTCTTAAAAGCCTGGGTGGAAGTGGGTAGCAGCATGCTTTTGAACAAGGTCTTATACATTACACCAACACATGCCTGTAGTTACAGACCGTCAGGAACTTAACCATGCCAGAACAGAACTAAGTAATTTCTTATGGGAGAGAGCAAATATTTCAGTCGCCTCAGAACACACAAACATGAAGAGATCCATACAGTAGTCTTTAGATCAGAATCTAGAACTTGAAAATACATTGTCTGTGTAGTTACACATTCCAGCATTTGCCAGATACTGCAGTACCATCAGGAGAGGCTACATACCCTTCTGCCACTGGGCATGGATTTTGTTGCGATAGACAGTATAGCAGCGATCCAAAGCACTGAGGTAGCACTGTATAGAGAGTTTGCCATCCACCACAGGGTATTCAGAGACCATATCTGGTTTGTAGAAGTCATAGGCATGCTGCATGTGGGTTCCACGCAACCCTGGTGGACAGAAAATGACAAAAGTTGAAAACTGCTTTATTCAGCTGCTCCCAGTCAACTGGAACACAGTACACATGCAGGAACAAGCAGTTTTGCCCTGCCCCCTCCCCCTGCCCCCCCAGTCAAGCAGATTTTCATAGAATCGTTTAGGTAAGGTTTCACACAGTTCTGTTGCTTGCTAGGTACAGTAGGACTGAGCATGACACACAAGCAACAAAGGACGGTCATCATATTGTTCTGGAAGCAGAATGTTCTGTTATTCAGCCCTAGTCCACTCTGCCAGTTTTACTGGACAATTCCCAAGGAAATAAACAGATAGGACCATCTCTAGTTGTTTCCTGCTTCATCCTATAACAGGACTTGGCTGAGTTAGCCCAGAGCAGGAGGAAACAGAACAATTTCTGATATTAGTGGGAGTTAATCCACCACTCCAGCGATGCACAAAAAACAGCAAAACGGGCTTCATAACAAGTCTGCCTGAACAGGGTGTGTCCTCCCACAGCACTAACCTCTCTCAAAGATCAAGGGTGCATTTGGACCAACCAGCATGGCAACGGCACCAGCCCCACCAGTTGGCCTCGCATTCCCAGAGGCATAGACAGCGATGTCTCCAGCCACCACAAGGGCATAGCGTCCTGTGAAAAACACACAGAAAAATCCGTGAGAGGCAGCCAAGCATCTGGCATGCCTTAACATCCACCAGCAACTTTCAGACTTCGGTTACTGAGGAGATGACATATCAAGATTAAGGGGATCTTCAATCCTTTTTCCCCCAAGTTTCTATTTTCTGGCAATTGCCAAAATTTACATGAGAACAGCAATTCATAGCTATGTCATTGTTCTTCACACTGTAACTGAACTAGTGGCAAATGCCCACAGTATTTAAAAAAAAGACTTCAGAAGAGAAAAACAGTTTATCCTTTAGGTTTTACAAGGTTAGACATGAACACTGTCATTGTAGGGCAGACTGATGTAAGGATGACGTAACTTTTCAAGAAAAGACCATGAACTTACCATCCCAAGAACTGGACTCAATCCAATTAATGGCATTAAAAAGAGCAGCAGTGCCTCCGTAGCATGCATTGGTGGTGTCGATTCCTTCCACATCTGTGTTACCAGATTCTTCAAACAGCTGCATCAGGACAGTCTTCACAGATTTTGATTTATCAATGATGGTCTCCGTTCCAACTTCTAATCTCCCAATACAATCGTAGGAAAGGTTGTTCCTCTCCATGAGCTTCTGGACCACAGTCAAGCAGAGAGAGTTGATATCCTCCCGGTCAGAGCAGAACCCCATCCTGGCCTGGCCGAGCCCGATGGTGTACTTCCCTGCATCCACACCATCATACTTCTCTAGCTCTGTCTGGTCAACATACTGAGAGGGAAAATATATTTCTAGCGCCACAATTCCCACATCTTTGGGCCAACAGGATTCAGCATTCACTGGAAGAGACCCAGGCATCGTGGTAGATCTTTAAGAAAAAAAAAAGAAAACCACAAAACCAGGTGATTTATTCACATCCATTTTGAGGGACCTACTTTCAGTTTCTGTAGTTTTATGGAAAAAGTTATAATTCGTGTATTCTACAAGGTAATTTGCAAAAGGCACGCCTTTGCCTCTGGTGAAACTTTGGTCAGAGCATTCAGTAAACATCATTAGGAGTTTTGTAACATTTTTTATTAAGAAGTACTTTCAAGTGAAAATATAAAATTCAGCCCCAGAGATGACAAGATGTAGGTTAAGCTCAAATTATCTTCCTGAGGCAAAACACACAGTGTTAAGTGTTTGAGAAATTAATGTTCATTATTTTACTAATGCTTATATGCAAAGTCTCGTTTTTGCATATAACAACCAAGCTAGAGACACTGACATTTTTTTTAATGTTGCTAGTTGAGAACCGAAATCGAAAATCTACCCATGCCAGAAAATTTACTACCGTAAAACAGGCCAGGGCTTTTCAAAATTATTTTTAGTTTAAACGAAGTGACGCAGGTGCTTACTGCTTTTTGTTTATACTTGCAACGAAACAGAATTCTTTCCAGAGTGGGGTTTTTTTTGTTTTATATTTGGGATTTCTTTCAGCACGAGGTAGGGGGAGCTGTTTTGTATTTTTGTTTGGAGTCTTCCTGTATGTTTGCTTCAAGCATACTCTTGTTTCAGCAAAGCGGAACACTGAAGTCCCAACACCGAGCCTGAAGGAACATTTCAGAGGCTGAGACGAGACGTACAGACTTCTCCCTGAGAGACCGAATTCTCTCGTTTTAATCCCATGACTTTCCCATCTCACCGCACCAGAGGACATATTACACTCCAGGACATACTACACCCTACTCCTCCAGCTCCGCCCCACCTCTATTACAGACAGGCACCATACTCCTGTTCCTTGCCTTCCATCCTTAAAGGAGCCCTCGTCCCTTCCCTGCCGAGCTCCAGGCACCGCCGCAACGACTTACCTGGCTTCTTCCATAAAACCGCGACGAGCTGTACAGAGGATTACGGACCGCCCCTACAGCAAATACTGCTTTAAAGAAAACCAATTTCGCCTCGTTTGTGCCCGCTACTGCCGCCCTCCCCGCCTCAAGGTTATCCATACCCCAGCCGGGAGCCGGCCGGGAGCCGCGGGAATGGGCCTGGCGGAGTCACACCGCGTCCCTCCCGCAGCGTGTTCCCGGCACAGCGCGGAACCTGGGGGCATTCCCGCCTTCCTTCCCCACTGTCCGCTGCCGCTGCCGCCGGCCCTTACTCGGGCTCCAATGCCATGACCGGCTCGCGGCGCCCGGCCGAGTGCGCGTGCGCGGCGCCAGCAGTGCGCGTGCGCCGCAAACGGCCACGCCCGCCCGCCTCAGGGGCGAGGGAAGGGCCGGGAAGCGCCGAGACTGAGGGGTGGGCTTCGGCACTGTGAACGGGGCGAAAAAAATTCACCGGCACCCAAAAGTCCAGTTTGGCGAGGTTTCCTGTGTTTTTGTTTCCTTTTCTTCTGGACAATCCCTGGCCACGCACTACCGTACACTGGTGGCACCTCGCTACTATTTGCATGGTGGAGTGGTGCCGTACCTTGCTTTAAATTTTCCGGACTGAAAAAACCAAAACAAACCCAAAACCCCCACAAACAAACAAACAAACAAACAAAACAAAACAAAAACAACCACAAAAAAACACCAACAAAAACCCAAACCGCCAAAACATCATTATTCCTGCCGTCGGGAACAGATGTTGGGCAGGATTATGGATTTGTTATCGCACAGCAGCAGGTTAATACTGTTGAACGGGAGTGGCTGCTCTGCTAAAGCCACAGCCAGAAGAGGGAGCAGCGTGGAGGTCCCCAGGGCCCTCAGGAGCTGCGAGGCAAGGTCACATCCCCTCCCGGCAGCACTATGAGCCGGGAGCCACGGAGCAGCACTGGGGTACGAAACTTGGCTCTGTTTTACCTCAAATCTGCACAGCTACTGTTGGGGAGGAGGAGGATGCTTTTCAGCTCCCATATGAACGCAGACACAACACCCACAGCGAGATCCCAAGATACCAGCTGGGAAAAGGGCTCTGGGGTTCAGCTCTCTTTCTGGCACAAAATACTTCATTTTCTTTCAAAAGGATTTTTTCCAAAAGGAAATACCAGCTGCTGCCAGCTCAGCAGTGTCTGGCTGCCACCTTGAGGGTGAGCCGTGTACCCAGATCAGAGCTCATTACTGCTCCAAGACCAGAAAGTTGAAGACTGCAGAGAATCTCGAGACTTAATTTAAGATGTATACAAAAATCATTGAATGGTTTGGGTTGGAAGGGACCTTAGAGACCATTTAGTTCCAAACCCCTGGGGCCAAGCGCAGGGATGCCCTTCATTAGACCAAGTTGCTCAGTGTGCCATTCAGCCTGGTCCTGAACATTTCCATGGATGAGGCATCCACAGCTTCTCTGGGCAACTTTTTCCAGTTCCTCACCACCCTCACAGTAAAGAATTTCTTCCTAATATCCAATCTAAACCTGCTTTCTTTCAGCTGGAAGACATTCCCCCTAGTCCTGTCACTATATGCCCATGTAAAAAGTCCCTCTCTCTCTCTCTTTTTTTTTTTTTTTTTGGTAAGCTCTCTTTAAGTACTGAAAGGCTGCAGCAAAGTCTCCCCATGGCACTAGCCATAGAAGAACAGCAGCTAGCAGCTGTTAACCAGGCAGTGAATTATTAGGAAAAGCAATATGCCAAGAGGAATTCTACTGCTGGGAGGGCTAAGGAAAAACAGTGTGCTTTGTGCTTGCTCCTTATAGAACTCCAAGATCCAAAACTGGCATTTAACTGATAATATCTGCAGTTCTCTTGTCAGAAAACTTTGTGCAGAAGACAACTAAAGGGAGGGTCTTTCTACCACATTCTCATGGGTCACCAAATACCATACTTCCCAGATACTCCTAACAGGGCAGGAGTCTGGGCTAGTAGGCTGTACTGCAGAGAGAAACACTGCTTCATGAGCATGCTCTGATAATTGAAGGAAACGAGACATATGACATCTTACGTCAGTCATTACAGAAAAAAAAATGGTTTTACTTGGTTTAAAACAAGCAGCCTTTTGTCCTCCTGGTAAAACAGCAAACAACATCCCATCATTCAGTTTTCACTGAAAACTAAAACTTTCTCAGAAGTATGATTTCTTTAAAAGACCAACAACCCCAAATGCTTTGATATAAATGAGAAACCTGCTTTGTTTTGTGTCACCTTAGGATTTCAGTGGGAACGAACAAGCAGGATAAGACAAGCTATTGCTTTCCGCTGGTGTTACGAGAAACATGTTCTCCCACAACAACTGGTAGCGTTCATTGTCTTTCTTAAAAATTTGAGCATATTATGTCAATAATTTGACTCTTTTCATTCCTGCCTTAATTTTTAATTCCAACAGAATATTTTACTCAAAGTTCAAAAATAAGCCCCAGCCTTCTTTGCTTCAAGCGCTGCCTTTGGCTCCAGGGGACCGGTGGGACGGACCGCGCCGGTGGCAGCTCCGGCGGTGACATCATCGCCTTGTCCCCGCACGGCTCCGCAGGTGCCACTCGCACGCAGGACACCCGTCCTGCCATCAGATGCCGCTCCTCCGCCCAGACCGCGGTGACATTCCCGCGGGACGCTCAGCTCCGGGCACCGGGATGGCGCCGCCGGCCATCCCCGTGGGACGCTCGCCCACCTTCGGGATAAGGTACGGGATGCGGCCTTCGGGCATCCCCACCGGACGGTCATCTCCGGGCGCCGGGATGCACTGCCAGGCATCCCCGTGGGATGCTCGCCTAGCTGCGGGCGCCGGGATACGGGCGAACCGCGCAGAGTCCCAGAGCGCAGGAACCCTCGGGCCGAGCCGTGCCGTGCCGCCCGCAGGGGTGGCGGCACATCCGACACCGGGGCTCCGTCACCAACAGCAGTGGCGCCGGGGTGCCTACATCCCTGCGGCAAACGCCATTGGGAAGGAGGGCGGCGGCATCCCTGGGAGCAGCTCCAGGCTGCCTCTGCCCGAAGGGGGCGGCGAAGGCAGGGGGACACGCTCGCCCTGCCTTTCCCGACCTGGGAGGGCGACTCTGTCGCGACACTGAGAGGCGATGAAGGGACACACCGTGGCCCCAAGACGGGGCAGAGCCCCGCATCATCCACCCACCGCAGCTTACCCAGCTGGGGGCTTCCCCCGGCGGCAGCGGCCGGGATCCCTGCCCAGGATGCGGCTACTTCGGGAGACGCCCGATTTCCCGGGCGGGGGCGCCGCTCGCCACCCCACGGGCTGGGATGCTCCGAGATGCTCCGGACAGCGCCCGGCGCGGGGTGCGGGCTGGCACCGACGTTAGGACACCATGACCCTCCTTTTTAGGGTATTTTTTTTTTGTTGGTTTGTTTTTTTCTTTCTTTCCTTTTCTCCTTTTCTCCCCCCCCCCTTTTCTTTTCGTTTCTTTTCCTCCTTTTCCCCCCCCTCGTCTTTCGTTATCTCATCCCCGCCGCGCTGTAGGCTCTACTCCAAACACATCCCCTAAAAACACCTCTCCCAGCTGTGCCGACCCGTCCCCAAGCCCTGCCTGCGGCTCTCCAGTCCCGCCGCTCCACGCGTGCTTCCCCCTACACGGCTCCGCAGCCCCTCGCCCCTACCCCCTCGTACCTCCGCGTCCCGAGCCGCGCTCACCCCTCGGAGATGACAGTTCCTGCTGTGGCTCCCGGCGCGTATCCCGGTGCGTATCCTGTCTGTATCCCGCTGTGTCTCCACACTCCCCAGCCCAGCCCCGCCGGCCGCGCGGCCTCTTTAAGCAGCCGCACCGCCCGTAGCCCGGCGCGCTTCTTGAGTGGCAGCCCTATCCACCAATCACGGCCGCGTCCGCGCCGGGTCCCGCCCCTCACCCAGCGCGCGGCGGGCGAGGCGGGCGGGGGGCGATGGCGTGAGAAAGTGACGTAGCGTGGGCAGAGGGCGGCGCGCCAATGGGCACGCGGCAGGGGCGGCGGGCACCCAATGGGAGCCGAGCGCCGCGCTGGGGCAGCCAATGGGACCGCGCGGCCGACCGCGGGTGAGGGTGGGACGGGCGCGGGCCGCGCGCTAGGCTGTTGCCCGGCAACGGGCGTGTCCGTGCCTCCCGCCGCGGCCTCGCGGGCATCCCGGACACGGAGCATCGTCCCGGACACGGAGCATCATCCCGGCCCCTCTGTGCCCCGGGACTCGCACGGGGCGCTGCCAGCAGAATTGCCTGATGGATTATGTGATGAATGTTCAGCCCTGCCCTGTCCTGGATGTTCCCGTCATAGTCTCGTCCCAGCTCGTTAAATCTACGGTGTGTTAAGCTGCACATCATGGGCTTGCCGCTGCCTGACAAATTGTCAGTTAGCTAATGTGCGGGTTCCCCGTGCCAGCCCCGCTCGCCTCCAGGCCGTGCCATGGTTTATATCCACCTAATCCATGGCCATGATTTATATCCACCTAATCCATTGCTGCACAGGCCATGGGGCATGCCTAGAGAACGGGGAGCATGAACCTCTGCTGCTGATGGGAAGTTGCTTGACAGAAGTCAAACACAAATGTTATAGCCTGGGTAACTGGGTTGTAAAGCACAGCCCAAGTCAGGGAAATGGTGCTACCCTGGCAGCTCCCTTGTCAGCCTCTGTGAGATCTGATTGCTGCAGCCAGCACAGGCTACCACCTGACTCACCTCAGGGTGTTAAACCACCATCTTAGGAGAAGGTAAAAATACTGCAAAGGAGAGGGAAAAGCTGTCATTGAAAGTGCTAAGTAAGTCCTGTCCTATTTGTTCAGTCTGTTTTGAACTTGTGACCTTTCTGCTGTTGTCGTGCAAAATCGTCACAGATTTGTCACATAACTCTCTGTACTGCAAGGACTGAGATACCACTGAGAAACTGAGAAAAGTTTTGTTCTCACGTGTTACCCTGCAGTCTCCTGAAAAGCTCGTGTCAATCTGTGTACAAGCCAGTTCCACTTGTTGTTCTGAAAAAAACATGTTGACAAAATGCATACTTGGTACATAATGGCTTAGTTACATCATGTAGACATGTGTAATCTCCTGTGCCTACAGACCAAAGGGACTTGTTAGGAAAGTTCATACTCTGCTCTAGGAATCTAAGACTCCAATTGCTTCTTCTTTTCCATTCCTACCATGGAAAACTCAGAAAACCCCCAAAAACCAGAATCCGTGTCCTTGTTCTAGATGTCAAAATTGGTTCCTAGTATCATTATGTGCTTTGGTTGCAAAATACTTCCTAATATGGGGGTGCTTGAACTGTCCTGCCTTTAGGGAACAGTTGCTCAGGGGCAGATGAATCAGTCCATCTCACTGAGTTTGTGGGAGCTCAACTGAGAGCTGCAAGTGCCCCCTGGAGCTTTGCAGCCCCTTCCCTGCTCCCTGGGGGCTGAGCTACCTGTGTGCAGGGTTAGGGTTAGGGTGACAGGGAGGTGTGAGGAGACCCCTGGGCAGCCTCTCCACCTTCACTTGGGAGCCCTGTTCAAACCTGGGCCTTTGCATGGGGAGCACCACCAGTGTGCCTGTGCCTGGCTTCGACCTCTGCTGATCTGACCCACTGACTTTCCAGCTTCACCTCTGACCTACTCATCTCCACAGATTTGCCTGGAAACTTGGACTCTTGGTTGATCCCGTGTTGCCATCACTGGCCCTGCTCTACCTGTTTGTTTGGGCACTGTGGGAGCCTGTCCTTGGCGAGGTCACTGCCCTGCTTGCTGCCTTGTTGTGTCCAGCTCTGGGGTCACCTGCCCTTGCTGCTCCCTGATACTGTAAATCTGCTCACCTGTGAGCCTGTACTTATGTGGTGGGTTTTTTATGATAAATGTCATATTTGCTTTCACAATCGTGAAGTCTGAATTGGGCTTTGTAATTGGTTTTTTTTGGGTGTGTAGTCAACAATAAATGCAGATGTAAAAAGCAGTTTTCTTTATTACATCTTCACAGATCTGATTAAAAAAAGCTGCCAAAATTACTAATTACTACTTAGCTTGGGGATGTGATCCATATTACTGCTTTCTTTTCTGTGGTCTAGCTATCTCTACCAGGTAGATAGAGACTTACCTGGTCTCTATGCTGCTAAAAGCAATGTATTTGCCTCCTCAGGATGTTTATGGATCCAGATGATAATTTAAATATATATCCAGTCCAGATGTCCTCCTTTTGCAGACTAGTTGGATGACTAATTCTTTATAGCCTAAGAACTAAAAACTACTCTTTCTCATTAATCAGTCTAATTTATTTTATAATTGTTGTCCATAGCATTATTCTTTTTATTCAGCTTTATGAGACTATTGCTTTTCCTGCCACTGCGTGTATTACAAGGGAATACTGAAAAAAAAAATTACAAATGTTTCTGCACAAGAAAGGATATGCCTATACTCCTGTTGCAATAGATTACAATTGTTTTGTATTCGTTTCTCATAAAGATTGCATTAATATCATTAAAGTTGCTGGTGAATCTTGTTCCAAACCTCTTAGGTAATTAATTATAGTCCTCCAAGCAAACTGTGCTCCAGACATGTGATGGTACTATTTCCAGCCCAGGTAGTGAGAATGCAGGTCGTTTCCCTTTCGTGGCTCTAGAGCTCAACCAATCTGTCCAGGGAGATTTCCAATCGAGGCTGAATTTGTTAATTTGTTGTAACCTCAGTAACCTTAGAACAGGAAACCTAGGAAAAGATAGGTCCATTTAATAAAGATGGTATTACCAGAGAAACTCAGCATGACTTGGAATAACCTTGGAGCAGAAACATGCTCGGACAGTGCGAGTGAGAGCACACACCCTCTTAAAATCCAGGCTGTTTGATAGAAGAGGAGTTTGAATTTGAGTCTCTCTCACCATTTTTCAGCTGTGTAAAAGTGGGTGGGAACTCCTAACCTGATACTATTTTGAAAGAAAAGTGTTTGCAGTCTGATGATTCACCTTCTAGCTTAAAGCCAGAGTATCAAATTCTGGGTGCTGGTTTTGTCTCAATAGACCCAACAGGTTCTTTGCTTCTGCTGAGTAGTTCTTAAGCAATGCTATCTGTGACATTGTTTTAAAGCCTCCTAGAGAGATAGAGACTGTCACAACTCTTAAAATAAGTGAAAAATCCAGATGATAATCATCTGTTAAGCTCTTTTATATTTCCAGCCTAACTGGGACTTAATTCAATGGAAGTTACACTTCTAAGCCACTAAAATACTCACTGGGGTTTTCAGATGCAGCCAACTACATCTTTAGGCACCCAAACCCCTTGGAAAGAGAGTTTTATCCAGCATTTTCAGGGAAAACAAAGTCATGTGCCCTAATAATCTCTTCCACAAAACAAGATGTTGAGATGACTTTACTGAAAAAGGCATTGATTTGATTTTGTTGCCAAGTACAAAATAGCAAAGGTCAAAAATAATGCTGAGGGACAGAGAGTGTGAGATCACACAAGTGAAAGTTTGGAAATGGGAAGGTTTTTCTTCTACATATTTGTGTTAGGGTTCAGGGATAAGTGAAACTGTACAAGACTGGATCTCTCAAGTGCTGTTTTGATATTTCATATACTAATATCAGGGAAGAAAGTTTTTTTAGATTGGATGACTAGTAAAAGTTATTTCTAATTGAATTCCCAAAAGAATGCACAGGAACCCAAACTTGAAACACAGCTGCAGTGGAGAGCGGTCTTCTATCATCTCATAATCTCTGAGTTTGGTCTCCTGGTTCCAGGATAACATGGCAGAAGACAATACCCAGTGTGAAGAACTGGGAAATGTAAACAAAAATATCAAAGCCTGTATATTAAAGTAGGTCCAGTAAATGCAAATATTTCAATAACATTTGAGCTGCAGTTCTGGCTGAGTCTTAAAATATTTGTGATGTTGTATCAATTGCAGGTATTAAAAGCTATAAAAATGCATTTAAATCATACTTGGCAGGTTCTTTATGATATGTATAAGAGGAGAAACTGCAGCAGTGTTATAATTTCAAACACAAAGCAGGAATTGCTGAACAGATAAGAAAGATTTGGGGGGCAGGAAAGCTGACAGTGCAAAAACAAGTCACCAAGTATCTGCACTGCTTTCCAAACCAGAGAGACAACTGCAGCTGTGCTGTCTTCTTACAATTGTCAAAGGACAGGTCTGCAAGCCAGGACTGCATGGAGCTTCCCAGCAGCCTGTGCCTAAACCAATGCAGACTCTTCCTCTTCCTCTTCCTCTTCCTCTTCCTCTTCCTCTTCCTCTTCCTCTTCCTCTTCCTCTTCCTCTTCCTCTTCCTCTTCCTCTTCCTCTTCCTCTTCCTCTTCCTCTTCCTCTTCCTCTTCCTCTTCCTC